GCCACCGTCGAGCTCAACGAGGCTTACCGTAATCGCTCCGGCCTGAAGCTGCTACATAATTTCTTCAATGGATTAACTGTTGAATAGCTTCCAGAGACATTAGCTGTGACTATGCAAAACCGCTTTTGACCAGCGTTTCAGGGACGTCGTAATGGTCTATGGTACCTCGACGACCTCGTTGAGCTCGTACCGTGAACCATGTTTCCGTGGGAAAATCTTCTGATGTCGTCGGTGTAGAAGGCTGTCATGTAATTTAGATAGATTAGAATGTGCTCTTCAATACTGAGTTGGGGGCAGTCGATTTGATTTAGCAAAGTGTGATTAATGCTGTCTGAAATGTGGAGTGAAGTGTCTCTTTTTTTGGCCACCCCTGTATTTTATATATTAACAGACTTTAAAAAGCTTCTAATTTTCATTTCAGGCTCGACAAAGGCGCTAAGCGCCGAAAGCTCGCCAAAAAAGACCTAAACTTTTGCAAAACTTTTGCAAACACACATTTTTGCAATTTCTTTTGTAGAAAGTTTTGAGTCTTTTGCAATAAAATTTTGAAGTCTCACATTGTTTAATTACACATTTAGGTCAACAGAATCTGGGACAAAACAATTCTAAAGGATCATTTACCGTTACGACTTTACCTGAAACAATTGTGGGAAGGTATGTTGCATAAAAAAATAAATATTCACAGCGACTGTCATGATGAAGCAACCCATGAGTGAACCGATTGAAGGAATCATGTGGCAGCTTCAGGCTAGAGCAGTTATGGTAGCTCTCCATGAAGTCGACCGCGATGGCACATGACGCATATTATGTACGACGGTGAGGTACTGAAGAAGGGCTTACCTCCGCTTTCAGGGATATCTAAGGACTGATTTGAGACGAAACTTCTGTCAACGGTGACACCACTGGGACGAAAACTTTGCTGATGTGCGCCATCGAATGAGTTGTTCCCTCCTCCCTGTGCTATGGATTAGTCAGCACAGCATCCGCTTTCCAGGGTGAAAATCGTGTCGAGGAAATAACCGCCTCTTTACGACCCCCCTCCAAAACATGGACTCTGATACGACCCCTTTTTGTCCTCTGCACATCCGGTTTCATATCAAAAAATGCTAGTTTCAGATGTGCGAGAGGGACGCAGCGCCGCTGCCACGCAAATGCGGCTTGATCCAAATGCTAGATTCAATTCTGCTCAGATTAGGTTCTCCTTCTTTCCTTTAAAGACATTTAACCTTTGCCACATTGGCCGGAAAGTAGAACATTGAAGGAGGTACTGCCCCTACACAGTTGAACAGTCTCGCGCTCCAGTATAGCGGCGCTAACTACCCGCGATCGCGTCGCGCGCTGTGCCTAGAGCGCGCTAGTTGGAAAAATCGTCAAATGTACCCCCTATTTAAAGGACTATAACTTTCTTCATTGATAACCATTTCAGAAAGTGAAGGCAGCTTTTGAATGCACAAGACTTCTAGTTTCTAAATTGTGCTGAGCGTTTTTCTAAGCACGCCTATTCTCGAGAGTGGGAGACGTCGAGAAATTGTCGAGGAAATTGAAATTTACATGCGAGTTCCCACTCTTTGGAAGACAGTAGCTGTCTTCATTGGCAATGCTTTGAAAATCGGAGGAAAGCGTTGTAAAGTAGAAGATTTACGCTTTCTGATAGGTGCTCCAGTTGTTTCGAACGCTTTCTAGTTCGCGAGAAATCTGCGTCGAGGAAATGTCAAGGAAATTTTCGAAGCCACTCGAAAACTCTATTACTCCCTCGCCGTAGTAGGGAACTTCTTTGAACACCTTCAAAATACTTCTATACACGTCAGTTCAATGGAGTAAATGTAAAATGATGCACTGGGCTCAGATCCATTCC